ATGTACGACTATAATATGATATCTTTAACTATTTTAGGAAGACAAGCACAACCACCTTTAACTGCATGTGATCACACATACCTGAAATCACAGCACTGTAGATGTCTGAGGCATACAATCACAGTTTCAAGCCTAACCTGGGCAACTTAGCAACTTAATGAGAATCTGTCTCAAAAAATAACAAGGGGTAGGGATGCAGCCTCACGCAAAGGTTTGGGGAATCAATGCCCCATACTGGAGAGGAAAAAGCAAAACCAAAAAATATTTTCTCTTTAAAACACACTTATTTAAGAAAAGCCATTTAAAAAGTCTCAAATTGTCACTACCACACTATTTTACAAATTTATTCTATCACTATCTTATTGCTTTTATAATCAGAAGGAAAATATTTTAAATAAAAAATCAGCTAAGTTGAAACTGAACATTTGGGGGCTGGGGATTTAGCTCAGCAGCCTAAGTGTTTGCCTTGCAAGCACGCAGTTGTGAGTTCGATCCCTGGTACCGATAAAAAAAAAAAAAAAACATTTTTGGCATATGTAACATCTCATAGTCAGAAAAGGCACTCGTGGCCTCACTAAGCTGTTCACATGACCTTGGGCAATTAGGTTATTTCCCCAGGCTGCCCACCTAATGTGGAAGCAGATGATCTAAGCACAAAGAGTCTTTCTTTATTCTACCTCATTCTAACAACTGGTGATTATGAGATGAGTTTTCAAAAACTTTGCAGTCCATTCTAGAAGGATGGCTGTAGCAGCTTGTTTTTAAGCTCTCTCAATTCTCACATAACATCTACCTAGAAAAAGCAAAAGCATGGAGATAAGGTATACCCTTGACTAACAAAGTATAAGCAGGTAAGGATAAACCAGCACTACCCATAGATCTGTGTGGTGTCTGTACAGGTAGAATCAAAGAGAAACAAGGTTGATGGATTCAGGAATGGGAAAATCCCCAGATAACCAAAAGACGTTCATAGAACAGTGAAGAGACCAATTAGAGAATAGCACCTAGAGCTACAGGGGGTGAAACATTTCATGCAAAACTATGTGCACGCCTGCAAGGGACCTACAGTAAGAAGCTGAAGTCCTGTCCCCTGGAACTTTCTATATATAATGGCTCCCGGGCTCTATCCAGGAGGAGGTGCTGGTGGGAGTACAAAGGAAACTGAGCAGGCTGGGAATAACAGAAACAAAAGAACAGACCCAGATGAAAACAGGCAAAAGAAAGAGAGCCAGCAAGCTTCTGAAAGCAGGTGGTCATACTTTTTACTTCAAGAAAACAACATAAGGCTAAGTGAGCTCTCTCACCTGAGGGGGGTGAAAAGAGCCTTATTTCCCATCTCCTGAAGTTCACTATAGCTATTTTCACATAGAAATAAAAAACAGGGGCTGGGGATTTAGCTCAGCGGCAAAAGCGCCTGCCTTGCAAGCAGGCAGTCGTGAGTTTGATCCCTAGTACCAATAAAAACGAAAAAGACAAAAAAAAAAAAAAAAGAAATAAAAAACAGAAAAGCACTGAAGACAAATCCCATTCCATGTAATAAGAAGGATAACATCCTTACAAACCATGAAAGCATGCCAGAAATCTCAAACAGAATAAAAATTAAAAATACAAAAATAGCTTACTATCTTAAAGGTTTTAAAGAAATCATACAAGGCATAATCAAACAAAACATTAGAAAAATTCATAAGTGAGGTAAAAGAACACAGAAAAGAATCAGAAGATAAGAAATGCATGTCAGAAATGAATACTAAACTAGAAAACACAACCAGAAAACAACCTATGTCTCCAAAAGAAATATAAAATACAGAACAGAGAAGATATTAAATTAAGAAGGAGGAAATATAAAGGATTTGATACAGTGACACCTTAAGACAAAGATGATCTAACAAACAAATACTGGAGTCTAGGAAGACTGTTCTTTAGCAAATGGGAAGATGAAGAGACAAAGAAGGGAAGGAAAGGAGAAAGGGAAGAAAAGATAATCCAGATGTGTGATACACAAGCACCAACTCCTCAAAAAGAATGTAATACTGTGGATGGCAAAACACAGTAAAACAAAGTAAAATTCAGTAAAACGAAGGAATATAATACTATGTGTGGCAAAATACAGTAAAGAAAACCAAAGAGAATAAAACTAATATTAAGCAATGTAATTTCTTTAAAATTCTCTGAAATAAAAAAAAATGACTGTAATACAAAATCAGAGAACACACAGCAAACCTGAAAATATCAGGTCTATCTTAATTAGAATAAGACTTACTCCAGTAAAATTACAAGAATAAGGAAGGAAGCAGGAGCGAGAAAGGGAAAGAGAAGGAGGCAGAGAGAAAGGGAGGTTGGCAGGAAAGGATGAAGTGAGGAAGGAAAGAATTCTCTGGATAGGTAGAGTGAGCGCATACCTTGAAAGGGTAAAAGAGTTATCATCAGACTTCAATAGCAACACACTACACCAAAAAACAATAAAACAGCAATTCCAAGGAAAGAAAATAGGAGCCAAGAACTTGACATCCAACAAAGTATTCTTTAAGTATAAAGGAAACAGATACATTGTTATTAACAAGCAAGACTACTGGGGACATTATCCCAAGTGCAGTTGGAACAATCTAGAAAATAGGCATCAGGCAAAATACATGCATACTGCATTTAAAATAGGTACTGACATAAGAATGCTTGTGGTCATTAAACCAAGAATACTTACAGAGCACTACATAAGAAACCAATGGTCACACTGCCAGTTAGGATCAATACAGTCCAACTGCAAAAAGTTGGGAGAATGAGAACATAAAATGAAGTTCTCAGTAACTACAGCGGTTACAGTGACATTAATGTTATTATTCTGAGACTATTTGAATACAACATGGGATAAAAAAAAAAAGGATGCTAATGGAATGCTCTAATTCTATCATCTCCTGTAACCTTAGTAAGTTTTAGTATGAAAGGGAATACAAATACACTATAGAAATTGAGCAAAAATAAGCAGTAGTCTCAATTTGCATTGGAGGTATTAGTATGAATTCCTAAGGTATTTTATTCATATATACCTTAAATTTAATAAAACCAATTATACCTTTGCATTTAAGCTAATAAATAACTCCTTTATTCTATCCAAAAAAAATCTACATATAATAAACCAGCAAGAAGAAACAAGTACAACTTAGCACTCAGTCAGTGGTCTTGAAAATGTCATTTCCTGCTGAGGAAAACTATGGCTACTTGGAAAACAGAACTACTTAATTCTAGGTTACTTCTAGGTCTGGGGCGAGAAATATACGCTGGGTGCGTTGGAATACCTAGTCAGTTCAGGCCATAAGATTCAGGAGCCAACCTGAAGAGCCCTTCACTAACTAAAGGCAATATAATTTGAGCTTCAGTAAGGAAAACAATTATAATGGTTTGAAATCTAAATATATGAAAATATATCAATTCCTAATATTAAGAAATAAGTAGGCACTTTCATGGATCACAGTGAATCAATTCATCATTTTGAAAAAGATTAAGTGAAAGGAAAGATTCGTGGGTCTAGGTTTTTTCTACGAATTATATATACCATTGTTTTAACAAATAGCAGATGACAGAAACTGTTTCTATATTAATAACAGAAATGGTAGAACTAAAGATGATTTTGTAAGTCACTATGAAATAATGAATTCAGGTAATAAGTATTAACAGCTGCAAACATCACAGAATGATGACCAGGTACTACAGATCTGCTGTTGAGAAAAACACTTCAATGTTTGCCAAAGGGACTGGATAAGAATCTGACAGTGCTTCAGGATTCAGCCTTCAGTTTACAAGGCAGGCACGAAAACATGCTGAATCCCAACCTAAGTTCGCAATCAGCAACATTCAGGATGTGGAAACCTATCCCCAAGCCAACAGCCGGGTTTAACAGATCAATTCACAAGCTAACAAAAAAGGGAGGAAATACCTGTAAATTAAAAGATTTGATTTAAAGGTAACCTCTGGTTTTTAAATGGGCAAGACTAAGCTCTACTATCTAGGGATGCAAACATGAGTGGTAACATGTAAAGATCCAGGAAGTATTACTGTAAAAATCTTAGTGGTTACTTTTGTGGGAGGAGAATGTGGAGTTGGGGAAAGGAGAAATGGAGGGCCATTTAGGAGGAGAGACAAGTTGTTTCTTAACTTGGGCAGTGGGCACACAAGTGTTTCGTGAATGTTTGTACTCCCTCAAATTCATACGCTGGTTGACTCCTGTTGAGATGGAATCAGGGTAGGAGGTGGGGCTTTTGAGAAGTGACTGTGTCATAAGGGTGCAGCCCTCAGAAATGGGATTAGCTCCCTTTTTAAAGAGCAAGACAAAAAAGATAATGGAAAATGCAGATGGAAAAGGGATCTAAAGATGGAGGAAAAGGGTGGGAAGAAAAAAGAATTAAGATGTGTTATATAAATGTACCAACTCTCCATGATAAATCACTATGTACTGAAAAAAATGTAATCACTATGTACTAAAAAAATGTAATAAACATTTTAAAATTAAAAAACAAAAAGAAACTGGGGAGGCATAGCTGTGCTCACTCATCTGTGAGAACCCAGTGAGGGGCTGGTGTCTGTAAACTAAGAGCAGAGTCTCTCCAGGAACAAAGCTGGCAGGCTCCTTTGACGCCAGCCTCTAGAGTTTTGGAAACTACATGCTTGGTGTAGTTGTTAAAGCCACCCTGTTTACGGGTGTTGTGTTTTGTTTTGTTTTGTTTTGTTTTGTTTCATGACAGAATCTTCCCATGTAATTCAGGATGACCTTGGACTCACTGTGTAGCCCAGGTTGGCCTCCAATTCCCAGTGATCCTCCTGCCTCAGCCTCCCTAGTCCTGGGATTACAAGCATGTGTCACCACACCCAGCGTGATGTTTACCATCCCTTCAAAACTAAAACCACTTGCTCATTAAGCTAGAACTTGTTTCGTGGGAATTGGTATGTATAGTCTTTTCTTTAAAAAAAAAAAAAAAAAATTTTAAAATGAAGCTTTCCAGGTCCCTTACCTGGGCCTTGGCCAATTTCTTCTCTAGAAGGTCCCGTTCCCGCTCCGTCTGCTGCAGACGTTTATTAAGCTCCACTATATCTCCCCTGAGAGATGCCAGGGCTGCCAGATGGAGCTGTTGGGACAAAAAGAAAGGAGCATGAGGTTAGACAGTTCAGCACAAACTCGTTTCCTTCCCTTCCGTCTCTGTAATTAGTATAGCCATGTAAAAAAATGTATCATCCAATATGGGACACTCTGGAGAATGAAAGTGCATCGATCTCAGGGGACAATGGATATAAATCAGGTGCCAAAGCAAGCTAGATGATACGGTGACCCTACATATAATAGAAAAACTGTTCTATAGGGGCTGAGGAACTTACTCTTGGACGGCAAGATCAGTCTAGAGAGCAAGCTCCTAATACAAAGGGCTGTTCCTGAGTTGCTGACCAAAGGCCTGCTTGTCTACTTCAGATACAAGGATAAAGTGAACAAAGACAACTTTACTTGTTTATTACTTGATCCAAATATGAACGTTAGATAGGGCAACTGCATTTTTTTTTAATTCAGTCTTCCAATCACTGTCGGCACAACAGACAGGCACTGAGAGTTAAGAAATAGAATGTGGAGGCTCCACATTTTTGTTTCTAGTCTTAGAAACAAAAGCCTGTTTACTTCTTGCCAGTCCCTCCAGCCTCACTGGCCCCCCCAGCCCTACAGCATGCAATAGATAGAGGCTTCCTGTGTGTTCACAGATCCTCCCCAAGGAGCAGAACCACAGTTCTGACACCTGATGCTGTGAAGAGTCAAATCCACTATCCATCCAGACATCCTGCCCAGCCACCTCTCTCAGGTTAACCGGAGATGGAAAGAACGTTCTTCGGCAGATTAACAGGGACATCGTGCACTCCTCTCAGCCTGAGCAGTTCTGCAGTCTGCACACTTATTTCAGTGCCAGGTATTCCTGCCCCACCCACAGCTGCCTTCTGTGGCTCTTGAGATCGGAGAGTGCTACTCATGAGACCTGCCAAGCACGTTCATCTCAGAGCAGCACCCTGCAGCCTGTGACCTCTCTGTCACCACTTTGCATCTACTCTCAGAGTCCAATTAGGCTGAGAACATTCCTTACTGCCGTCCACATTGCATGTGGATAAGCCATGGAGTCAGAGCAAATGCTCGCTCTTTATAAAGCCTATAGGCCTTTCGTTGCTTCTGCCAAGAAGGATTTAGAGTAGGAAAAAAGCAAATAAAGGTGATCTTTAAAGATGGACACTGTACAACACTACACAACTCAGCCTCAAAGATTTTCATTTCAGGTCTAGAAAGATGCCCTTTTCTGCAGTCTGCCTCTCTATTCAGCCTGTTGGTTGATGGGGGTGCTGGCATGGGGGCAGCAAGAGGAGGAGAGAGATAAGGAATGGGGGAGGTTCATAGCAGATGTTTATGATAGACTCACACAGCAATGAGTGTGACTTTGTTTAATTCCACCAAGGCTGCAAATCAACAGATCAATAGCTGATTTGAAATCAGGAATGCTTGAAATTTAAAAAAGGAAATGTCAGGCAATCTGGTAATATTTGCCTTCTCATGTAGAGCTGAGGCTGTTCAGAAAAGGTCATTTTGATTTTCAGATGCAAGGTTTTATGTGATGATTTCTCAGCACAAACACCACAGCATTCCCACTGTACAATCTTTTTGAGACTATTTTGTTTCAAGAATAATGGAGAGGAACAGAAACTCATTCCCTTCCAAGGCTGTGTTGTCCTCTCAGCCTCTGAGCAGTCATCTGAGGGTCTTCCTTTAGCATCACACACTGTGATGTGGCCCTTGACTAAAGCAAGTCTTGAGAGGAAGATAAGCCAAATCCCCAGTGGTGAGAAGGACCAAATACACGGAAGGCCAAAGCGCTCAGAACCTCAGGGGTGGAGACAAGGATGCAACTGGGTGAGGGCAACACACTTTGAGGGCTCCTCTGTCAGAGCTGGGGAAGGAGGAGGATGGGAAATGCTGACAGAGAGTGCTGGAAGCTCCTTGCCAGTGTCATGAACTAGGCCACCTGGGGAGAGACTTCCATCACGGCCAGTGATTCGGAGTCTGAGGGGACAGTGCCAAGGCAGAGAATGTGGGGCCAGGCGCCCAGAGCACCATCCAGCCCCCATTTCCCCAGGATCATCCCCAGGTTTCCCCTCCAGCTCTCCCCATTACAGATTTCTGTACTACGGAAGAGAACAGAACAGTTGTTGTCAGCCTTAAGCATCTCATAGTTGTGATGGCCTTTCTCACAGACAGTGGTACGCATCTGGGGGTTAAAGCATATTTTCCTTCCAATTATGATGAATCTATTCATGAACCTCCATATAAAAAAATTGGAGCTAGATATCAACTCTGCAACATCATGTCAGTTTGGCAGAGTGTCACGTGTGTCTAAGTCCCTGATACCTGAGTGGGGAAAAGGCCCTCATGCCTGGCACTCCTGTTTCTCTAATGGCAAGTGAGGATCTGAGCCCCACAGATAGCTCCGTATCACAATCTAGACCAAAGGATCCTTCAAACATTGTGCAGTGTTCCTCATGACAGTCATTTTCAGCTTCACACCAGATAAAAAAATTTACTTAAAATATTTTTTTTATTATAAGAGAGTGAAAATGTGACAGAAAACAATTGTAAAGGACATTCAAATATTTCACCTGTATGCCCTGGATGGTCTTAAATTTTCTTGGTGCTTTTATGTAATGAGTTTTTTTTTTTCCTAGAGAAGAAGTTATTTTTGTATTAAGGAAACAATGGAGTTGATACCAGGTGTGGTGGTGCATCCCTTTAATCCCTGAACCCTGGGAGGCTGAGGCAGGAATGTTTCAAGTTTGAGCCAAGCCTGGGCAATTCAGAAACCTTGTGAGATCCTATCTCAAAATAAAAAAAGAATTTGGAAAGTAGTTCAGTATAAAGGCCCTGGGTTCAAATTTCAGAGTTACACACACACACACACACACACACACACACACACACACATTAAGTAACTGTTTTGTGTAGGTGGCAGCACAAAAATTGTAAATGTTTTCTTCCTTCTATATTCTGCTGCTCTCCTGACTAGCCCTTCTGGTAGAAGGTAAACCTTTAAACACTATGCTAGAGTTAGATGCATGCCTTAGCATCGCTGACAGTTACTCAGCAGAGGCCACTACTGCAGACAGCGGCAGGCACAGTGGAATAACCTGTCAACAAGCAAGTGGCCTTGTAGATCAAATGCTGGTGACAGCGGTTCCATCCTTTCCCGAGAACCAAGCAAAGGAGCTGCTGAGCCCTCAGCCCCTGTGAATCTGAGTCAGTTAGGTTTCCTTGTCCTATCTTATCACTAACGCTATAAGCAAAGCAATGTGCACTACTTCTTTTAGGGTCTCTCATCCCCTCACTCTGGCTGAACAGGCAGTAAGCCCATGAAAGCCGGGGAGTGGATTACTGATGCTATATGTACTTGTTTCAAGGCAGGCATGAAAAAATTAGCAGAGAGGTCTTCCTGGGTAATTTTTAAGAATTGTTTACATCTATAGTCCTAGCTACTTTGATAGCTGAGGCAGGAGGATTGCCTGAGCCCAGGAGTTTAAGATCAAGTCAGGAGAAAGAAAATAAAAATAGAAGTGACAGCAGATTTAAATCCTGGAAAGCGAAATTTACCCAGAACAACCAACCTTGTCAAGTATCTATAAACATAATCTTACATTTACACTAATCTTGGACTATCCATTCAGATACATTCTGTTTCTGAAATGGACTTTAACTTGAATGAGAGCTTTGGATATAAAAACTAAGAATTAATTAAAAGATGCTTCATGAACCAAAAGGAAGGAGAATGTTTGTGTGTATGCTGCTCCTCCTCCAACACTTCTCTGTGTCCTCGAAAGTAAGACGCCGAGTGTCAGCTGCCTGCAGTAACAGCTGCTGCTCACTGTACTGTCCCTGGGCCAGCCTCCCAGCCAGCGGGAGCTGTGTGCAGCCATGTGACAGATTCTGGCCACTTTAAGGAAAGCAGAGCACGAACAATATGAGGGAAATTTTCTGACAGAAGTCATATCCTCCTTCTTGCCCTCCATCCTTGCTGTTTCTACCTCACGCATGGGGGCGTCCACACTCTAGAGGGCTGGAAAGTGCCCAAGTCCTTAAGAACTTGGTGGAGTCACCCTATCAGTGCTGGGTTTCTGTTCCTGAAGAGCAAGAAATTGACCTGTGGGCAAATGTGCTTTATCCTAATACTGCAGCAAATAAAACTCATCTGACTTGAATTAACATAGAATCTGACAGCCATGGGTTCAAATCCCTTTTGTGCTAGTGGGTGAACAACCTTTGCATAATGTATTTTATCACTTTGTTATGCAGTGAGCATAAAAACAAACTGAGACACATCTATGAAGTGACCAGCATTCCTGGGAGGCTCTCAATAAACCCATCTTCTTTACCAGCACACTTTCAAGTCAACAGCAACTGACTACTCAGTCCCTGTGATAATTTAACAGGAATTCTAAACAAGCTGAGATGGGACCTTGACAATTCCTATACAAACCCAGTACATGGAGGATACAGATGCATACATTCTTCACATTGTAGGACATAAAAGTCCCTAATTTTTGGATGCTTAGGAACCCTGCTTCAGGTGCACTTTACAGTGTGTATCCAAACGAAGTTAAACCAAGTGGACACACAGCTACAAGCTAACTGTCACAACAATTGTTACCACTGGACGAAACATTCCTTGAGAAAAACTACTATTCAGCTGGAGACAAGGAAGACCCTCTGACGGGTGAGGCAACCCACCTCCCAGGCCTGGCAGGCCTCATGGCCACCTCTTCTGGTCATTTATCCCCATCTAAGTGGACAGATGTCTAGTGTGTCAAGGTCAGCTGTGAAACTAAGGGCTTTCCACTTCCCAAGATGCCCTCAGAGTCCAGTGCCAGTGACAAGATTCCCTCCAGGAGCAAGACTGTGTGTTTATAAGGTGCATCTCCATTTTGTGGTTACTGGCATGGAAACAGCAAGCAAGAGTCTGCAACGTCCAGCATACGTGGCACTGTCCTGTGCATCACCTCATCTGATCATCACCATCACGAGACCCTGATCTAACAGGAGGCTATGACTCCCAGTACA